GAGCCTGGGTACAGGCAAACAGCAAGCAAGATAGAGACAACCAAGAGCGGCTCTCCCGTGCGAGTATTGTGTGGAGAAAGGTATACAGACAGATACCTCGCTGGGGACTGGCGCCGCTGACTTTAGGCAGGCTGGTCAAGGCTACGGTGCTTGCGGCGCTACTCTACGGATGTGAAGCTCGAAGCTTTACTGCCGCGCAGTTGCACGCATATGAAATATTCTGGAATAGGGTCGTACGAGGGATAAGTGGGCAGAAGATTCGGGAGATGCATGAGGCCAAATTGACTATGCGAGACCTAAGAGCTAAGCATGGGTTAGACACGATTCGGATATATATCGGGCAACGACAACTTCAATTTCTAGGACATATCGTTCGTCTCCCCCAGCATCGTATCGAACGACAGGTTTGATTTGGATGGCTCTCGGAATTTCGTGAATGTAATCGGGACAAGTCGAGAACGGTGAGGCCTTCTACGAGGGCCCAGTATGCCAACAGGGTGGAGGAGGCGATGGTGATATCGGAGTTGGGCGGAAGTACGAGGAGGGAGAGGGAGCAGGGTTGGCAGCAGATAGCAGAGCAGAGAGTACTCTGGCGAGCGGTTGTACGCAAGTGGGTCAAAGCTGAGCGGGCCAAAGACCACAAACATTGCTGGAAAGTCAAACACGCACCCGGAGGTAAATACGATCAGACTTTGGCCCGCCAGCAAGCGAGACTCACTGCTCTCACGGGCGTGACTTTTGACGCCAATGGCCAGGCAGTGTGTCCTCACTGTGAGAAGGACGGGATCCTGGTCAAGTGGCACTCGCGGCAGTTGGCCGCCCATATTTTACCCTGCAGGACGAGGAATTCAGAACAGCGCCACAAAGCAGCTGCTGGCCGTCGCATGAGAGAGGAGAAAAAGAAAGCTTCGATTGGAGTGGGTGGTGGAGGATGGCAGGGGGCAGCACAAGACGTAGGTCAATCTCATGAGGAGGCTGAAGAGGCCCGACTGGCTCGTATTCGTGCGTATGTCTCAGCCATGGCCAGTGCATCGGTTTCGTCACCTGTCCCCGCTGAGGCGTGCAAGAGACGGCTATTGAGCAAGCAGAAATATGTGGTGACTGAGGTCCCCGTTGGAGGCGCAAGGGATGTTCGGGCCCGTCGAATCCGAGGCAAACAAGCTCGTCCAGAGGGATATCGACAGCCCGAGGGAGGAGGAGGAGAGGATCATATTCCCCGTGGTAAGTTTCGAAAAGGTCGAGCACAACACACTGGTCCACAGGAGCGGGTACCGATGAGCATTCGTCATACGCTCAAGAGGAAGAGGGAGGAGGCGGAGGTCAGCATCAAGGGTACCAGCTCGGATTTCAAGGAGAAGGTGGAGGAGGCGAGGAAGAAGAGGTTGGAGGAGCAGAAAACCAAGTATCGGAAAGGAGGGAGGACGAGGGCATACAAATCATTCTATCCATCAGGGGGTTGGAGTACTCCAGGGGGGCAGAGGATCATTGCAGAGACGTTGAGCGAGTTCCCGATTCCAGAGGCCAGTTTTCAAAGACAATGTCGTGGCAAGAATTGCAGAGTGTGTTCTACATGGTATAGATGCCGTGAATATGGGTGTTGTTTTGGAGGAACATATCAAGATTGGGGTTGTGCGGTGTGCTCTAAATGTACTAGATGTCGTAGTGCGTTGCATGATGACGAATGGAAAGTGGCGGAGCTTATCTTAGCTCGGAGGGGGTGTATTCCGACGGCGATCCAGGGGCTTCAGCGGCCCCCGAGAGAACCTGGAGCAGATCCATTGAAATGCCAGTGGTGTAAGGAGCCTTTTGTGAATATGACAAAGACTGCAGCACATGAACGGGCATGTCTTCATATGCCATATGATATGTGGGTCGCACGCACACGGTATTGCTTGAGTACGCAGAAAGATCGTACGGTTGCTTGTGTTCATTGTGGTACATTATTTCAGACGAAGCGTGGGTCGGTCCAGCATGAGAAAAATTGTGCACACAGACGTGAGATTGCAGGTCTACCGCTAAACAAAGAAAGATGGCACAACACGGCTGAAGATGCTGCTAAACTGTGACCCGTTGGGGAGTGGTGCGAGAGGTCCCGCCACTCCAGCATGTATTTTGTGCCGTGTACGTTTTTGGCGTTCAAGTATGAGTTGAGGGATTTTGTTATTCAGCTACCAGCATTGTATCGGGCCAACTTCCTAGACTATTATCGATGGCGGATATCATGGCGGATGTGCAGCAGGCGCGTACCAGAGTGCAGCAGGGAGGAACAGTGGAGAGGACAAAGCAAAAGAGTGATCCAAAAACTTGTGTAGATGCCGATGTACTTCGTTACCTGTCGAGAGACTACTTGATGTTCAAGGGCGAAGCCAAACAGATGATGATTGCAAAATCTTTGGTGGCATTATTCAAAACAGAGACGATCAAAATGACGATGGTACATTTATTGCAGAAATGGGAAGATGACAAACCAGCAGTTACCGACGAGCAGAAGAAGAAAAAAGAATTTCCTGACCATCCGAGTGGTTGCAATAGGGAACAAACATATGCATTTACACCGGCCATGGCTTTACTGGAGCAGGAGTGCAAAGATTATCATGTTGAGACAGCTAAACTTGCCAAATAATTGCGTGGTTTGCCAGTGACGGAGAGAGATCTGATGCCGCAGTATTCAAAGCAAAGTTCAATACTCCAAAGGAGAAACGTACGTGGAAGTTCGAGTGGATCATGAGCGACTTCTGTACGGACAAGCACAAACTTACTGTATCCAAGCTGGTCACTGGTATGCAGAAGAGGGATGTGGTGTCTATGGAGATGTCTAAGATGGTACCACAGGCAGACTCTGAGACAGCCCTATGGGGCTGGTTGAAGCAGGCCAGGTAGCCCGCTCGGGGCGCTCGGCCCCCCCTCCTTTTGGAGCCTGGGCTGACGCCTGGGCCAGGGGAGGGGGCACGATGTCCGAGGGCACCACGGTCGGCACATCGCCGACGTTTTTGGTACGCTTTTGGATGGGGTTGCTCGAGTTTTGGGGATGAGCTGGGAATCCTGTACGAGTATTCGTGGTTTGAGCAACTGCATCATCTAGTACGTCGTGTCCTGGGACGCCCCGTGATGAATTCGGTGTGCAATTTTTGGCTGAGGATGGCTTGTATTCTTTTTGAATGGAGTTCAAAGTATCTTGAATGACGAGCTCAACTACATCCTTTACAATCAGGAGTGCGGTTTGTTGTGGTGATTCCGGGTTTCTCATAATTCGAACACCTCTTTGGGGGAAGAAGGCGGCAGATTCCCGCAATGCGGAAAGTTCCCCGCAATTCAAATTCAGAACTTCGGGAAACCAGCGGGGAGAGGCCGCTGGAAGGTTCGAATTATGGGAAACCTGGAATCACTACAAAACAGCGAAATCTATGAGCTGATTCCGGGATTCCCACAATTCGGAATTATGGGAAACCTGGAATCAGCTCATAGACTGCGGCTTTTCGTAGAAAGATTCCAGGTTTCCCATAATTCGAATTCGAGGTTTCCCATATTCGAATTATGGGAAACCTGGAATCACTACAAAAAAACGAATTCTATGAGCTGATTCAAGGTTTCCCATAATTCTGAATTATGGGAAGCCCGGAATCAGCTCATACAGTGCAGCTATTTGTGGTGATTCCAGGTTTCCCATAATTCGAAACCCTCATTTGAATTCGAATTCAGAATTTCGGGAAACCAGGGGGGAGAGGCCGCTGGAGGGTTCGAATTATGGGAAACCAGGGGTCACCACGAAAAACCGCACTCTATGAGCTGATTTTGGGCTTCCAACAATTTAGAATTATGGGAAACCCGGAATCATGGGAAACCTGGACCCACAATAAATAATTCTACCGGGCAGTCGTCCGGCCATGGGTTTTCCATAATTCGGAATCATGGGAAGCCCATAGCTAGACGACTGCCCGCGCGAGGTGGCCTGGCACGTTTCACCTAAGACACCCTCGAAACTCACAGCGCGGAGCTGCGGCACGGGAGGTGGTCTGGCACGCTTCGCCGACGACGTCATTGCAACTCTGAGCTCGGAGGCCGCGCGGCAGGTCGTCCGGCAAGTGTCGCCTGAGACATCCTCGCAACTCTTGGCTCTGAGATGCCGCGCGGGAGGTGGCCCAGCACGCTCCGCCTAAGACATCATCGCAACTCTGAGCTCCGAGAAGCCGCGCGAGAGGTGATCCAGCGCGTTTCGCTTGAACCCTCCCTACAAGTCTGGGCTCCGAAATACCGCTCGCGAGGTGATCCGGCGCGGTCCGCCTGAGATATCCTCGCAACTCTAGGCTCCAATATGCCGCGCGGGGGGGTTATCCGGCGCGTTCCGCCTGAGACATCCGCGAAACTCTTCGCTCCGAACCGACCCTCGAAAGGTGGGGCGTCGCGTTCCGCTGGAGACATCCTCACAACTCTGAGCTCCGAGATGCCCGCGCGAGGTGGTCTGGAGCGTTCCGCCTGAGACATCCTCGAAACTCTGGGCTCCGAGATGTCTACAGTGGAGGCCAGTCCACAAGAAACCTTCCACAGGAAACCCAACCCTGAGACCCCAGGACGTCCACTGACTTGTGGTGTGGGAGCGCCACGCTGTCCATAGCAAAACCATCGAAACCCAAGAAACCCAGGGCACCCTGGAGGCAATAAGCGTCCTTCTTGACATGGGTTTCCATTCTACTGGAAGAACAAAGAAGGGCATAAACTTTTGGCGCTCCGCGCGGATTTCTTGGATCCGCGCTGGACCCCCCTCCCATCACGCGAAGCGCGTCAGGGCCGCCAGGGGCGGGCGGCGGCGCCTGGGGGGGGCCAGCGCAGATCCAAGCAATACGCGCGGAGCGCGGAAAGTTTCTGTCTATGGCGTTGTCTCTTCATCTAGGAAGCCCTCAACTGGATCTTAGAACATCCCCTGCGCGCAGCTGGGGGGGTCTGCGCCGAGAGGGCCAGCGGGGAGGCGGGGGACGGACCGAATGATGAACGAGGGCACCCGCCTGCCACCAGGTTCGCCCTGTCGCCGAACATTCGCAGCGACACCTCGGGAGGGAGATCGTCGTCGTCGTCGTCGTCGTCGTCGTCGTCGTCGTCGTCGTCGTGGTTGTGAGCAGCGTCGTCGTCGTCGTGGTCGTCGTCGTCGTGATTGTGGTCAACGTCGACGTCGTCGTTGTGGTCAGCGTCGTCGTCGTCGTCCTCGTCGCCGTCGTGGTCAACGTCGTCGTCGTCGTCCTCGTCGCCGTCGTGGTCAACGTCGTCGTCGTCGTCGTCATCGTCGTCGTGGTCATCGTCGTCGTCGTCGCCATCGGCTAAAACGTCGTCGCCGGCATCCTGGGGGGGCAAGGGGACGCTGAGGACAACGAGGAGGAGGAGGAGGAGGAGGAGGAGAAGGAGGAGGCGGAGGCGCAGGCGCAAGCGGAGGAGGGGGCGCAATCGGAGGCGGAGGAGCAGCAGCAAAAAAAAAAAATGGACGCGAGGGAGCGCGGACAAGGGCGAGGGAGGCGGCGGCGGACCTCGGCAGGAACGCGAATCAAAACACGGGCGCAGCAACACACGCTTGCCTGCCAAGCTCCCCCCCCCCACACGCCAGATCAACGAGTTCTGCTGTCCCTCTGGGTGCCCCCCTTCGGGGTCCGATGGAACGTACTGGGCAGACCCATCCGCCCCAGGCCTCTCAACCAGGGAACGCGATCAACTTCAGTGTGGTCCACGTCGCTGTCGCGGCAGAACTCGGCGCGCAAGCGACCCCGCTCGAGACTGAGATCAACCTTGACTCTCGTCACTTTCCCGCTGACCTCCGCCTTGCGCTCTTCCAAGACTTTTCATGGCGGCGAGCAGCTTGGGGGTCTGGTGGAGAGCTGGGGAGAGCGGGAAGGGACTGCCAGCCCAGGGCGGGCAACAAACGTCGGAGAAGCGCCTTCCTGGATCTCCCGGCGAGACCAGAACCACGACGGCTCCGCTTCCATTGAGGATATCACGGAGGTAACTCACGAGAACGGGGGATCGGTGGTAACTCACGGAGGTCAAACACGGAGGTCAGTCACGGAGGTAACTCACGAAAACGGGGGATCGGGGCTAACTGACCCAGGATATCACGGAGCGGGACCCGCAGCGAAAGAGGCTGCTTTCATTTTTCTGTCGCGCGCGCCCAAAAAGGGCGGCGCTCCAAGTGCGCCACGATGCTCAAAGGGCCCCTGGGAGCTGGAGGGAGACGGCAGGGCAGCGGTGGAGAGAGAGAGAGAGAGAGAGAGCGGCGAGGCAGAAGGAGAGGCTCGAATATACATGACAACCATAAAAGCCACATGGGTCCATCCTCATCCTCAAGCGCATGCTTGACCCTCGCCGGAAATGCGATGCGATACCTTAGAGGAGATGAGGAGGTAGAGCAGCAGCAGCAGCACTACGAGCGAGAGCAGGAGCAGGAGCACCATGGGTCAGGAAGCAGGAAGCAGAAGGAGCGAGGAGGAGCAGGGAACAGGAGCAGGGAGAAGGAGTACAAGCAGACCGAGGAGGGGCATCAGCAGCAGGGGGAAGAGCAGAATGGGGAGGGTCCCCCAGAGGGGGTCCACTATCGAGACCCTCGCTTTCCTGCCACGCGGACCTTCCTCATTCAGGTCAAAGCGGGGTGATGGGTATGGAACACCAGCCAGGCCGTGTTTCAATTCCTGACCTGGCGAAGCATGTTCATAGATTTGTCTGGAAACGCAAATCGCCAAGCTTCGCCTGCAAGGTAAAAATACGGAACCCTTGGACGTCCAGGGGTGCAACCCGCCGTGGGTGTACCCAGGGGACCAGAAGATAAAGGGTCCTGAGGAAACAGGTCTTGGTCCCTGGGGCCGTCCCCGAGAGCAGCTTGTCATCCTGAATATGTGGTTGCCGGTGCGGGGGCCTCGGAAGGGCCCTGGGAAGCCGGAAACGGCGAAAAACGATAGGATCCTTTCGAAAGGCAACCATCAGCTTAAGAAACGTAGAATTCCGGACGTCCTCGCGGGTACCCTCGGCCGCCGCCGCACACCTCTCCCCGAACATCCCCAAACCCTTCCCTGGAGCGTCGGGCGCGACAAGGGCGGCGCTTAGGCGCCGCCAGAGGAGGGGGTGTCTGACGCCGACACAGAAAATCTGGGCAGACTTCCAAATGCTTATGATTTTTGTATGGCCAATTCCAGAGAAGCTAATTTTCCAAATTTGTTATGCCTTTGTTTTTTCCAATGGAGACTCCCAGGAAGTCGAAAACAGCTAAAACAATGAAGCGCGCAAGATGCCACACCATTGACGACACGCGTGGCCAGGACCATATTGGATCCCGGCATGGTGTACACGCCCTTCTGGCCGAGGCCAGGAGGGTCTTCACACCATCCCAGGGCCCAGGGTGGCCCCGTCCAGGCATGCTGGTGGTGTACAGTATAGCTGCCTTCTGCGGATCAGGACCCTTGCCTCGGGACCCCTCTTCTTCGCGCCAAGCCTCTTGAGCTGCACTATCTACACCACCCACTACGTCGCTGTAGTCCGACTCCAACGGACAAGAGGGCCGAGCCCCCACATTGGTAGCCAGCCGAGCCCCCGCATTGGTAGCAACTCAAGCGCTCAGCGACCGCAGCCTCTGCACAGGCCTGGCCGCCCTGGAGTCCTCCGCCGCCAGCGAGGCCGACGACGAGGGCACGACCCGCGAAGGAGGCGGCCGACTTCGTCGTCATCCTCCTCGCCGTCGTCACCTTCGTCGTCCCTGTCGTGATCGAGCGCGCTTCCCAAGCGAGACTACTGAACGCTGTAGGCAAGTGCCGCCCGAGCTTGTACCTTATCTGTCACCGGCTCGTGCAACCAAGAGCACCGGAAGCACACGTCGTCATCGTAATCAACATCATCACCAGCAGCAGCAGCAGAAACAGCTGCAGCAACATCATCATCATAATCAGCATCATCGTCACCATCATCATAATCATCATCATCATCATCATCATCAGCATCATCATCATTATCATCATCACCACCATCATCAGCAGCATCATCCCAATAATCGCCAGCATCATCATCAGCATCGTGGTCATCATCATCATCAGCATCAGCATCCTCATCATAATCAGATTAGCAGGAATATGGCATGATAATCTGAACAATGCTTACAGTGATAGTAATAACGATCAAGACAAAATAATGATGATAATGATACATTAGAAATAAGAAAACGAATCATAATAGGATTACGTTCAATAGCAATAACAGTTATCACACACTATGTCATAATATAAATAATACGAACTATAATAGTAATAATCGTCATCATCATCATCACCACATCAGCAACACTCTCATCCGTCATCCATCACAACCACCATCAACATCATCATCAATCATCCTCCTCATCATCATCTCCATCGACATCAGCATGGTCATCATCATCATCAGCAGCAGCATCATTAGTAGAAACAGCTGTATCGTTATCATCATCGTGATTATGATCATGATCTTCATGATGATGAGCATCATCAACCTCATCATCAGCAACATCATCATAATTATCGTCATCGCCCATCACCTATCATCATGGTCATCATGACCAACATCACAACAAACGTCATCGTAAGCAGCATCAGCTTCATCATCATCATCATCAGCATCATCATTACCAGCAGCATCATCATGGTCCTCCTCATCATCATCACCCCTAGCAGCATCAGCATCATCATCAGCATCATCAGCATGATCACCATCATCCTCAAACATCCATCATCATCAGCATCATCAACATCAACCTTACTATTTTCATGATCATCACCATCCCTATCATCCGTCATCATAATCATCATCACCACCACCACCATCATCATCATCATCATCATCATCATCATCATCATCATCATCATCATCATCATCATCATCATCATCATCATCATCATCACCACTGTCCTCGCCGTCGCCTTCGGTGTCGTCGCTCCCTCCGTCGTCCTCGTCGTCCCCCCCGCCCTCCGAGGGGGCAGCGACGGCGCGCCGCCCGCCTGCGAGGCGGCCTGCACCACGGCGCGGACGAGGCCCTCCTTGAGAGGGCCCCAGAGGCTGCTCCGGCCCGCCTCCAAGGGTGGGGCGGTTTGCAGCGAGGAGAAGGAGAAGGAGGAGGAGGAGGAGGAGGAGGAGGAGGAGGAGGAGGAGGAGCAGGAGGAGGGAGGAGGAGGAGGAGGAGGAGGAAAGGAGGAGGAGGAGGAGGAGGAGGAGAGGAGGAGGAGGAGGGGGCATGCAGTACGAGGAGGAGGAGGAGGAGGGGAGGAGAAAATAGGAGGCGGAAGCTAAGAACTATTTGAACTCTTGGCTAAGCACGGGTGGTGCGCAGGGAAAGGAGGTTCCTAGCCAAGGGCACGGCGCACCAGCATGGCTTGCAACTGCGCTGGCGCACCCTCCCGCCTCGGACAGAAGCCGCGGGGGAGGGATACGAAGAGGAACAGGAGGAGGAGGAGGAGGACGAGGAGGAGGAGCAAGAGGAGGAGCAGGAGGCGGAGGAGGCAGAGGAGAAGGAGGACGAGTAGGAGGAAGAGGAAGAGGAAGAGGGAGAGGGAGCAGGAGGCGGAGGAGGGGGAGGAGAAGGAGGACGAGTAGGAGGAAGAGGAAGAGGAAGAGGAAGAGGAAAAGAGAGGAAAAGAGAGGAGGAGGAGGAGGAGGAAGAGGAGGAAGAGGCAGCCGTCGTCAGCCTCTGCCGTCCTTCTCGTCGCCCTTCCGTGAGGAAGCCCGCGCAGCGCCGGCGCGTCGCGGTCGTGCGGCGCGGCGCGGGGTGGTAGCCGCGCGGGTCCGCGCGGATCCGCGCGCCGCGGGCGGCGGCCCGTCGACGTCACGTATGGTTGACCTCTTTTCACCCGTAGCTTTCAAAGCTCACCAGGGGCTTCCGAAGCTCACCAGAGCGACGATCAAAAAGTAGTCTTACGCGAGATGACGTAGCAACCTTACGCCGCAGCTTATGCGGGCTGCCCGCGCGGCGAGATGACGGAGCGACCTTACGCCACAGCTTATGCGGGCTGCCCGCGCGGCACGCGGCATGGAAGACGAGAGCGCTTACGCGCGACCTTACGCGGGCAGCTTACGCGCCAATGTCGGCGAAGACGACCCCGCTTTTTTGCATCGCCCACCTGTAGCTTTCAAGGCTCGCCAGTGGCTTCCGAAGCTCACCAGTGTTTTTCCTGTGTTAAGAGGCCTCCCATATGGGGTCCGAGACTAGATGGGGTCGAAGGATCGCGCCGCATCGCCAATGCGTCGTCGATGTATGGGCGATGCATCGGAGATGCACTGGCGACGTCGGTGTGGGGAAATACGGGCTCCACATCGAGCCGCATCGTCGATGCATCGGCGATGCGGCGCGATCCTCCGACCCTATCTACTCGGACCCCATCTAAGAGGCCTAGACGTATCCGGTGGTTTTGCCAGATCCCCTGCGAGGCCTCTGGCCAATCGTTCTTTGGCCTCCTGTGCCTCCGCCTCCTTGCTGCCCTTCGTCCCTCGCCTCCGGCGGGGGAGAGGGAAAGGGGTGAGGGGGCAGAAGGGAGAGGCGACGAAGAGGATGAGGGTGAGGACGGGGAGGGGAGGGGATGAGGAGGAAGGAGTACAGTCGGCGCGTTGACCTAAGGAACCCTGAATAAGGAACGAGGCCCCGTTTGTCCATAATTGAACTTCGATTTCCCATCGAAACGTAAGGAAAACCGAGGGCAACCTGTGAAACAGCTAAGGAACAGCGAGCCCCTCCCAAACGAAAAGGGTTCCTTCTTCAGCGCCCCGACTGTAGGTAGGTGGGTTGAGGCGCATCCCTAGCCTGAGTGTTGGAAAATATAAAGCGACGCTGCGGGGCAGCCAGGCTAGCAATTGTATGCATCGTGAGCGACGCGGTCGACTGCACTTAGCAGGGAAAGGACTGATCACGTGCTGAGGCGATAAGCGCAAAAAAACCCTCCCCAGGACTAGGGGCACGGAAAAGCGAATCCACCGAGTCCGACAATAAAAAACTCGGCGGTACGCACCGTACAGTGCAGAGCCACTTGCGTGTGCGTGCGAGGTGGAAGAGGAGGAGGAGGCGACGGAGGCGATATCATCAACGGGGGGACTGCGGGGTCCTCGGTCTTCAGATCTAGAGTCCCCGGCAAAACGCAAACCTTGACCGACTCTGACCCAGCACCCGCTCATAGGGGAGCACTGGCTCGTGGGGCCGAACCATACGTTCGAGCACCAACCCGTAGATGCACAGGCCGTAGATGCACAGGCCGAATTCCCCCCCGGCATACTGCGCCCTGGGCGTCGTCATGGGCTGGGTGCAGAAACCCAGCCCAGCCAGCCCAGCCTCCTGTGCAGACTGGACCACGCTGGCACCCGAATGAGAAGCAGCGAGGCGTAAGGGGGGCCAGCAGGACCTGAAGATCAGTCCTTCTCTGTGCGCACTCCGACCCACCAGAAAGCTAGAATTGAATCACTGTCGGCTTAAGCGTGGCACTCGTCACCAATGCCCTCCCGTGCAGCGAGGGGTCAGAGAAACTGCATGAGACTTGCATCTTGAACTCATCGATTATAGTTGTGGCGTTCCGCCCGCAGCAACGCTCCTATCTCAAGATCGCCCACAGGTATGGCACTCATGATATGAATCGTTCCTGTCATCACGAGCTTGAGATCAGCACTGGACCTGAGATCCAGCTGACCGAACTCATGATTCCACTCCTTCTGGCAATGCGTGTTCGTCTTCCAGGCATGGACGTGGGGTCACAGCGTCCTCAATTTCGCTACGTCCACGCAATGTAGGTTCACCGCGACTTCCGTATGGGGCGGAGGTATTCGTGGCGATCGACATGTATAATTTGGGAGAGAGCTCGAACCCAGACCCACCCCTGTCCTCAGCGCCTCCTTCAAGATGGCTGCTTTCAGGTGTTCCCTCCTCTCACTCGCCTTCTCCCCTCCTTCGAAATGTCGGGCAGGACAAAAACGCCTTTCGAAGCCAACAAGCAGTCATGGATTCCGTGTTACAGGTGGCCCAGTCACACGCCACAACGATGACGACAAGCACGACCATGAAGCACCAACGTATCCACAAAACGCCGCCATCAACCAGACCTGTCAGCTGGAGCACGAGGCATACATAAGATTTTTGTTTCTTTTGTTACTCCGCCCCCCGCGCGCCCGGCTCCCAAGCGCCCGCCTCCAGGGGCGGCACAGAAGGAAGGATACAGACTCCGTCACGCCCACACCCCACACTAGACACATACCAGACCCAACCGCACAAAGGCAAGCAGTCTGCCAGATCAAAGACAGGTCCTCGACCCCGACAGGGCGTTGAGGCACCGCTCACCCAGTGTAGCACTCACCGCTCGCCATCGCTCGGACGTCCGTTCCCTGTGTTTTTGTTCGTTTCATGCGTGTTTTTTTCGCCAAATGATCGAGGATGCTCCTCGATGGTCCTCGCCGAAGGAAAAATGCACACGTCCGAACGATGCCAAGACCGCCGACCACGGGGTAGGCACTGGGCAGACTACCGACATCTGCCATGACCAGCCGTTCTCGACTCAACAGAACGACGACAACCCATGGACCTCCCATCCACCAGTCACCTACCCGGTCAGGGATTGGGTGGCTACCGAGGGTAGGGAGATTGACATACCACTGTCAGCAACGATCCCCGCCAGACACTCGGTCAACTCCGACCCCCACTCCAACGTCGGCTGCTGGACCCGTGGCACGGGACCCCCTCACCACGATGAGCACAAGCATCACCATCACCTCTCCTCTCAAAGCGTCACCTACGCCGACTCTGCTGCAGCTGCCCTTGTGGAGCTCAATGACACCCACAGTCCGACCAGTTTTGCTCCATACAACCGACCTTCTACAAGTTAGCTGCCTCCCACCAATCACATTCTCCGAACACTCTACCTGGCCCAACCTACGCACTCACTCACAGCCAGGCCTGGCATCAACAGGACTGGCTAACTTGGGCGACCCGCAGCAGAGCCTTGGCGGAGCCCACCCCAGTCGACTCCACCTGACCTCCAGCCTTGGCAAGCAGCAGACGCAACAGCAGCACATCTATCCACCCTGACACGAGCAATCCACAGCCACCACGTCAAACACCTGCCTTCTCCGAAGACGCATACTCCCACCACTGCTAGGCCACGGACTCAATCAGCCTTTTCGTTTACGACTTTCTTCTCTAACCCTTCGGCATCACCCTTCCCACCTGAGGCACCGCCTTGGACCGCCTGGCTCGGCAGTGCCCCCCGGAGCAACATCAGCCTGAGAAGAGGCCCAGAAAATGGTAGGCTCGCAAAGCGGCGCGGCCGTCGCGGCGAGCACCCGGCGAGGCGAGCAGTCAGCGGCCGTCGCCCGTGGCCGAGGGCGTGGCGGCGAGGCACCGCAAGCCCCCACCCAACCATCCCAACCTGACAGCCTTTCTCCTCTCAGCGCAGCCCTCCGCCTCCCCCGTCTCTGGCCCACTAACCTTCTCCGCCTCACCCACACGCTGCGCCCACCAGCCAGGACCTAAGGCACGGGGGATCCACTAGAAAGGTAGTCGTCTCCGGCCATCAGAAGGTGGCCTCCGCGCCGCCACGGGCGGTGGACGTCTCCGGGCCACCGCGGCGCAGCGCAAACCAAGAGCCGCACTGAGGGATGAGGGGCAACGACAGGGGGGCACTGGCAAAGGAGGGGGACATCGGCCTGGAGTCGGCGATGCATCGCCGACAAATCGGCGAAGGGCACCCGATTGTGAAGCCGCACTTTCCTGGGCAGGTGGGGCAGATCCCAAAAAATCCGCGCGGAGTGCCACAAATTTATGTTTATGCCGTTTTTTTCTCCCTCGACTATCGGCGATCAATGGGCGATCGGGGGTCGATGCATCCCCCCCCCTATGCCTATCCCCCCTGCCGCTTCCCCTGCTTGACCTGATGGGCCAGTTTTCCATCACCATGACCATAGGTAGGACGGGGGGGAGGGAGGGTTGGGAGGTCCGCCGCCTCCTCCTCCTCCTCCTCACTATGATTGTTTTTAGTATTGTTATGATTCGCATTGTGCGTACTACTCCTGCTCTTGAAAGCATCCTTCGCATTCGCACTCGCAT